CGCCAGAGTGCAGAACAACACAAAAGGTAATTCAGGATTTCCATGTCAACCCAGTTCCTTTGCCTCCAGCTAGCTGACTCAGTCGAGGGAGGAGAATTTCCACAGTTCAGTACCAGTGCAGCAACGTTGTTACAAAGTGACGCACCGCTGAATGACTACAGACAAAAGTACAAGGGGAAGAAAAAAACGCAAAAGGGTGCGCTTACCGGAACGCGGCAAGGCGAGGTCAAAAACACACCAGAGCTGGACAACCAACAGTCTAATACGCCGCGCACGACACCACACCACACACACCAGAGCCACAGAGACACAGACACAGAAACACACATATACGGTCTCAGAGCAGCAGGGGTGAAACATGTCAGGGTGTTAGCAGATGTGCTCTAAGCAGCTGGGAGGAGAGTTTAGTATGAACAGGTGTGGTGGCTACATCTCATGATGAAAACACACACACACACACACACACACACACACACACAACCTGTTTGAGAAACAACTATTTTAAATAACTGCACATAAGCATGGTTATGACAGCATAACCACACCCGTGTGTGTGTGTGTCAGAAAACCCACAAAGAGGAAAAACTAAAACGTTAGCAGCAGATCTTTTAAGTAATTTAAGTATTAGAGAAAGCAAACCACAAAACATTTAAGATATTTCACCATCAGCGCTCTGACACATGGAAAACACCATCTGTCATCCCAATTCCAGCAAAGTTAGTATTCAGGTTTTAACCAGAGCTCATGTTGGAATAAAAAGGTGTGACTATTGTGATTCTGCAGAACTGCATACAGTCATTATAGGGAAGGGGTGTTTTATCTGGCTTGAAAACAGATTAAATATGTTTAAAAAAAAAGTAAACTCAACTAAATATATTATACTTAAAACATCTTAGCATCACTTATCACTTCTAATAAATTGCTGCAGTTTTTTTGTGCTACTTTGTTCCTAAAAGTTAAAATAGGATTATAAAAAGATACGTAGGAGGTGGTCACACTACGATAGATTTTAATGCGACATGTACATTATTAGCTCAGGGTCAATCTCCATGAAGGCAAAATATTTTATTTATTTTACGATTATTACCTAATATTTACAAAAGCCGTAGTTTCTTTACCCGTCTAAATACGACTTCAGTTGGAGAAATAATACTTCTTTGTCCTAAAATACGCCCTGCTGAGTTCAATGAGTCATAACTGACTACAAATTTATGTCACAGAGATAAAAGATAGGAATGATTAAAAAAAAGGAATCAGCG